TGCATACCCTCTTAGCATTCTCGCACGCTATGTTGCTCCTGGGAGACACAGACCGGAGCACATGGCTGCAGCGAAGAGGGTGTTGCGCTACTTGTGCAGTACGTCGGGCATGGGGCTTGTGCTTGGAGGGCAGAGTCCAGTGGTCCTTACTGGGCACGCAGACGCTTCTTGGGCTGACGACCAGGCTACGCAGCGGTCGTCACAGGGTTACACCTTCAGCCTTGGTTCCGGCTCTATTTCGTGGCGGGCTACTCGCTCGTCTTCTGTTCTCGGCTCCAGTTGTGAGGCTGAGATCTACGCAGGAGCCATGGCTGCACAGGAGCTTCGCTGGCTCACCTACCTGCTGACTGACCTCGGAGAGCCGTCTCGTTCTCCTCCAGTGCTGTACGTAGACAACAAGGCCATGCTGGCCTTGTGTCGGGAGCAGCGACTGGAGCACAGAACGAAGCACATTGCTCTCCGCTACTTTCTTGCTCGTGAGCTGCAGCAGCGTGGTCAGCTGCGTCTTGCGTACGTGGCCTCTGAGGCCAACATTGCTGATATCTTCACCAAGGCGCTTGCGCCTTGTGACCATCAGCGCTTCTGTACTCAGCTGGGCCTTGTGCCTACCTTGCCTCACTTGCTCACCTCTTGACCGTGCTTGTACTGTTACATATATATATACCTGCTCTTGCTTGTCTAGCCTTTTTATATATATGTACTCCTGCATGTGAACTGGCCTTGTGGCCTTGAACTTGTGCTCGGAATGTGTGGTGACTTTGTGATCCACCCTGAGCTTGCTTTGCTTTGCTTTACTTGACTGGTCTTGTGACCCCTTGTTCTCCCCCACTTTGCCTATGGGGGTGTGTCAGAACATTATAGCTCATGCATATTGTGTATGCTATAGTGGGGTAGCCCATAAGGGGTACAACCCAATTAGGGTCATTACTTGTACCCAATTCATTCATAGTTCATTCATTCCTTGTTTCTTCTCACTGCTGGTCCTGAAGTAGGATCAGCCAGGGCAACTGGGACTGGAGCCGAAAGAGGTGTGACAGTGGTGTGGTCGCGGAAGAAACACTGAGACGCGCCGGAGTCCAGCGTGAAGGAGAGCGACGCAACAGCAGTCGTCACGGCTGGGCTAGTGACTACACAAGCACCTACACTAAAAGCACAAGTACCGACACTAGCAACAGGCAAAGGTCCTAAGCTAGGTACACGTAAGCCAAGAGATCCGTACGTGACAGAATAAACAGCATCCATAGACATATCAAACACAGGGAAACCACTACGAAACAGACCGGGCCAGATCGGGGGAGCCGACTCAGGCCCAAAACGCTCACGGTAAAGGTCGTCGAGGCGGCTGTAGCAGCGCTGTGCAGAGTGGTCAGGACGCCAGCAGGTAGTGCCAGCACCAGGGCCGGTCAGGATCCGGTACTGGCAGGGGCCGACGTCGCGGCCACCGCGACGAGCCCCCCAGCTGGCTGGGCCGCTGCTGCAGCCAACGCAACCTGAACCACCAGGCCCCCATGGCTGCTGAGGGCGCCACAGCTGCTGAGGGCGCCCCTGCCGCTGCGGAAGCCACTGCTGAAAAGGCCGCTGCTGCTGTCCCTGCTGCTGGAGAACCCTAGCGGACTCCATGATAAAAGCTAGCGGGGTGCAGGAGCGGCAGGCTAGGAGCGACAGGAGCGACAGGCTGCTGTGAAAAACGAGAACAACTAGGAGCGCAAGGTGAAACCAGGCGAGTAACTGCTGGAGCACGGAGCGAACTAAGCTAGGAGCGCCAGGTGAAACCAGGCGAGTAACTGCTGGAGCACGGAGCGAACTAAGCTAGGAGCGCCAGGTGAAACTAGGCGAGGAACGGCTGGAGCACGGAGCAAACTGAGCTAGAAGCGCCAGGTGAAACTAGGCGAGGAACGGCCGGAGCACGGAGCAAACTGAGCTACGAGCGAGGAGCGAGAACGGCTGGAGCGAGAACGGCTGGAGCTAGAAGCGGCGAGCTAGGGCTGGCTGGAGGTAGGAACGGCCGGGGCTAGAGACCGTAAGTGCGGCTGTCGGCTGCCGCTAGTAGAGCCACTGGCAGTGGAAAGTACGTGCGACAGTAGGGGCTGCAGTACTGACGGCTGCGGGATGTAGGCAACTGTGCAGGTCGTCCGGCAAGCAGGAACGCGGGCGACAGTCGCAGGCCCCCACTGTGAACCCCTTTTTTTTTTTTTTTTTTTTAGGGTTTAATTTATTTATTTATTTTCTGGCACTAAAGCACCCCGGGGCGCGCTGCCTGCAGGGTGTGCTGCCTGCGGGGCGCGCTACCCGCGGGGCGCGCCTCCTGCGGGGCGCGCTACCCGCGGGGCGCGCTACCCGCGTGGCGCGCTGCCTGCGGGGCTGGGGTGACGAGCCAGGGAGGGCGCCTGGGCGACGGGCTAGGACGGGCGCTTGGGCGACGGGCTAGGACGGGCGCCTGGGCGACGGGCTAGGGCGCAGGCCTGGGCGACGGGCTAGGACGGGCGCCTGGGCGACGGGCTAGGGCGCAGGCCTGGGCGACGGGCTAGGGCGGGCGCCTGGGCGACGGGCTAGGGCGGGCGCCTGGGCGACGGGCTGGGGCGGGCGCCTGGGGGACGGGCTGGGGTGGGCGCCTGGGCGACGGGCTAGGGCGGGCGCCTGGGCGACGGGCTAGGGCGGGCGCCTGGGCGACGGGCTGGGGCGGGCGCCTGGGCGACGGGCTGGGGTGGGCGCCTGGGCGACGGGCTAGGGCGGGCGCCTGGGCGACGGGCTAGGGCGGGCGCCTGGGCGACGGGCTAGGGCGGGCGCCTGGGCGACGGGCTAGGGCGGGCGCCTGGGCGACGGGCTAGGGCGTGGGCCTGGGCGATGGGCTAGGGGCGCAGGCTAGGGGCGCGGAGGGCGCTAACGCGCGGAGGAGGAGGGCGCTAAGGCGCGGAAATGGCGCGGAGGGCGCGGTGGCTAAGGCGCGGAGGGCGCGGTGGCTAAGGCGCGGAGGGCGCGGAGGGCGCGGAGGGCGCGGAGGGTGCTAGGGCGCAAGGGCGCGGAGGGCGCGGAGGGCGCGGAGTGTGCTAGGGCGCAAGGGCGCGGAGGGCGCTAGGGCGCGAGCTAGGCTAGGCTAGGCGAGAGGATCGACACCTACTCATGATACCATCTCAAAGTTAGCGAACAACGGAATGATTGGAATAGAAACGAATGGGGTACAAATGAGCAACCCTAGAAGCTGTACCCCCTAGAGTGCAACTCACTATAGCCTATCATATCAATGTTCAACATTTGACAGAGCCGTCAAAGTAATGGTAGATCTGTGCTGTATATACGAGGAGCTCAAGCTCGAAACTCCATGTATAAATGTCATTGCCGTCAAATGCGGCAGTAGTAGTCTTGATCTTTGAAACGCCGAAGAAGCGTGCTTGCGCAGAATTAATGACTTCATCACTTGGACGGGGGCCTGTAGTTGTTGATTTGTCTGTGTCGAGAGAGAAGGTGTGCGCGGCGGTATCACGGCTTTTCGCAGACGGTTGTCCAGATTGAGCTGGTTGGGAAGAGGTTCTCGCATCGCCTTTGCGCAGTTCTTGGAGTTCTTTTTCTGTAGTTGAAAGTCAAGCGAATGACTGCTCGAGCGCGGCAGTGCTGATCATGGTTGTCGCCTTATTTGTCGCAGCCAGGTTGGTTTGTCCTTCGGCCGTCAAATTTGCTTGGCCTCGGGATCTTCTGGCCATCTTGGTCTTAAAGCGTGTGCCGCTCGCCAGATTTACGTTCGACGCATTTTACGGAAGTGACGCTGCGAAGAATCCCTGAATAGCTCACATACCATGTTACAATCCCAAGTGGGACTTAGCGAAGGATCGCTCATGGTAAATCGCAGGGTAGTGTTGCAGCGGAAGTAGTGAACTCAGGTCAGAGTGAATGTAAATGACTGAGATTGATAATTATATGCATATATCGGGTTTATATAAGAGTACAGGGGAATACGAAAAGACCTAGACTAGCCATGTACTCTAAGGGGTACATTCCTGTATTGGAGCGAATTCAAACCGTGTGGCGCGGGAACCCGTTTCAAACCTGTTCCCGCTCTTTTCACTTCAAATGCTTCTGCGTGCATCGGTCTTGGTCTGACGGTTGCTGCGTCACTTCGACTCTTCTGACTCCTCGACTTCGTACTCGGTAGAGTCGGCTCCTGCAGCGTACAGGAATGCCTTCTCATACAACTTCATATCGTAACATTTTGTAATGAATTTTCTTGCTATTCCTTACTGCGATCGTAAACATCGCGTACAGCAGCAGCCGTTGTTCGCCCGTTACTGCTAACGGGGCTTCGCCAACTTCGCGCGCACTGTTTCACCAAACCTCGCACTGCTGGAGCAGCCGAGTCGGCCCACGCTTCGGGACTGGCCCGGACCTCGCGCTAGCGTAGCACTAGCTAGCTCGCATGCACTGCGTTACCGTTTGCACATTTTCGCGTATAAGTATTCGCTCATGCCTTCGCTCATACTTGTACTCTTTGAACACTCTAGTGCAATCCTCACTACCTAGATTCATTGCACCCTCAACAGCTATTGGAGGAGGAAGACCTGAATACAAGATATCTTGTGAAACTTGCAGATAACAACTGCTACATTTGAGCTGAACTGGACCAGGTCATTCCAATTGCTCCGTAGCACGAATATACCCAGCGCAAATCTGGTTACTCTCGGGGATCTCCCGCGTGACACGAAGCAAGAGCTGACGCGGAATCGTGGAGGAGTTTCGCGAAAGATATTCCTCCTGCTCTACACCCCCCTTTGAGGGAAATTTGAAGTGGGACCGAGGTGGGCTGGCAGTCGACGTGTTCAATTCTGCCCTTGAATCACGGATGTTAGTGGGGTGACGTGTGAGTCCTTGGTTGCTCATCTCCCCCCCACCCGCCCTCCTTTTTCAAAGAACTACATCTTCCTCAATTCAAACCAGATATCGCTGTCAATTTTGCCAATTTCACATCTTCAGACAGTGACATTTCCGCTCTCTGGTCATCTTACACAAACATGGCTGGTGAAGTCGTTGATGGCGAGACGCCCGTGAAAGCTGTGACCTTCAAGTCTCTCCACCCTATTCTTTCCATTGATCCTCCGAGAGCTGGCGAAGCCGTTGCGTGGTATAAGGATGTCTTCGGCTTTGAGGAGGTGGCAAAGATTTACGGCAAGAGAAAGGCTGGTCAGGATGAGCCTCTGATTGATCACGCTCATCTGAAGCTCGGAGATGTGGAGATCAAGCTTGCAGATGACACTGGTCACGGGGCCACCGTTGAGTAAGTTCAATCAGCGATGACGCCGTCGCGTGTATCGTTCTGTCTCAATTGCGTTTCCTTGCCGTAATTGTAGGTGCTGTTTGTTTCCTAACTACTGATTTCTGCCTTGTTTTACCTAAATTGGCTGCACGCAAGCCAGAGTAGTATGTGACTACCATGCTCTTCGTTAATTTCTGACCCAAGTCGTTCTTCTGGTGCAGGGGTGGCAAGAGGCCTCCATCGGCATTGAAGGGAACCACATTCACCATTCAAGTCGAGTGCAGTGATCCAGATCCCGTTTTTGCCAAGGCTATTGCCAAGGGAGCAAAGGCCAGTCTGGAAGTGTCTGAACAGGACTGGGGTCGTCGTTATGGCAAGTTCATCGACCCTTTCGGTTTTGAGTGGGGCTTGTTGAAGCCTGTCGAGACCAAGGAAGAGGCTAAGGCAGAGGCCGAGAATGGCGAAAAACCAGCTGAGGCAGAAGCCCCGAAGGAAGCTGCTAAAGAATGACTGATTTCTAATACGATCCTGAATCGCGAAAGTCGCTCTTGCGTGCTGGAGAGGCATTAACAGCCCTGACGGACGCCCGTTGGCTTTCATTCTCATACTGAAAAGGTACCTTCTGGTTGTTGACTGCGTGTTGCTCCATCTGCATTGTCTGGAGATGTGTTCCTGTACATGAATCCAGGCATGAAAGCTGTGATGACTAAGCTTACTACGAACTCTGAATTACGCCAGTATACAGGATCTTGGCCATCCTTGACAGTACACTGAGCTTAATGCGAAGTATATTCTAGGTAAGTAGCATACAGTAGTTCTTTGCAGCCTTGGAAAGATGATGACACCTATCTTGAAACAGTAGCATTAACCGTAATAAGATATGAAAGTGTCCTCAGGTATTGAATTTGCACAATACCCAGGATAGGTGAAGCATGTCATTTCAACAATTGGGCTCCTCACATCCCACTAAGTTTCAACTGGTTTACGGCCACTTGGACGAATCTTGAGACCTGCCATTGTAACCAGGGGTTTTCTAGGAGAGTAAAGTTCTTGCCACCTCTAAAATCTGAAGTAAAACGGTCAAGATGGTGGCATTCTGTACATTCCCTCACCACACAGGATCGCAAAGCGGAAACTTAGTTGAAGGCGATTTGATACCAAAACAATTTAGGGGGTAAAAAGGGTGGTAATAATAATATTAATAATAAAAGGAACCGCTGTGTATGATCATTCAGGCGTGTGTGATGCAGACAGGTAGGCACGGTTAAATCGTTCTGTGTAAATAAGATAACTTGAATGCTTTGATACTCCAATATAGCCTACATATTGCCCTACATCCACTCCTGAGTTTGAAAACCTTGATTGAGTAATGAAGCGTCATTGGCGGTGGTTGGATTTGCCTAGCACCCTCCGATATTCTCGATTTTGGTTCGTGGCACCAGTGCATGGTGACGCAAGCCGAATTTCATTATTACGCGTGGCGCGATGTGGAGCCCTGCTTGCCGTGGCGCCCTCCCTGAAACGCTCCACCCCGTTGTGTATTGGCCAAAGGTGACGTGTTGGTTTGGGGCAAGCTATCGGCTGGCACGGCACGTCCAAGGTCACACACCAACCAGACGGGGTCAATCGAGGCTGTTTGATTGCGTCGAGCCCTCACCATAACATCAAACCTGTCAGAAGCGTTTCTTTGGCTGCCCCAACAGTATCCACCTCCCGTCGGTCTGAGCACAGGGAGTAAAGATGTGGAGTGGAGTGATCCATGTAGGGTTAGCAGCCAATGGCATGCAGTTGTACTAGCTTGATAACGGGCAGGAAAAATAAAGGCTAGTCGAAAAAGGTGAGATCATATCGTGGGGGAGTGGAAGGGGGAGCAGCCGAGGCGAGGCGAGGTGGACGGACAGGCTTGTTGAAAGGTTGGCATGGCATGCCAGAGCCTCTTTAGCAGTCGACAGAATCAGAGTCTCACAGCAAGGTGGACTAGCTGGGGGAAGGGGAGTGGGAGGGTCGTCGTCTCGTTGTCTCCTTTGACAGGGACGAGGGTTTTTATGCAACGGCTGTTGGCTGTTGTATGCCAGCAGCAGTTCGTTTGTTTCCATTCCTCCCTAGTTTGATCTGTGAGGAGACTGAAGGTGCGAGTACAGCGGCTTTTTAATTCCTAGTCTAGTTCTACGAAAGCCCTTAGCAACGATTGAAGCAGACTGTTTGTAGCCGTTTTTTAAAATCGCCTGGCTCGTAGAGGTTTCGAACACGCGGTTGTTGTTGCTTTTTGTATAGTAGCAGCTCTTGTGTCACCTTCTAGTTCTTAGTCATCAGCGATGGCTCGTGATGGGGAACAGGGTTCCGCGGATTGCCACCAGCCAGAGCGAAGCATACTCTGCGTGAATAACTGCGGTTTCTTCGGCAGCGCAACGACGATGAACATGTGCTCCAAGTGTTATCGAGATTACGTGCTTAAATCGTCTCACGTTGCAGCATCGTCGTCCGCCTCCGCAGCACCCTCTGGGAAAGTGTCTGGCGCTGGTACTACTCTTCTCCACGTGAAACCATTTTTTTTCCCCCCTACCGCGTGGTAGTCTGCCTGTTCGTATATTCGCCACTTTTGCGCTTCTGCTGTGGGCCTCCGCTGGATTTCGTCCAGCCTTGTAGATTCCATAATTTCAGTAGAATTTTGATGACCGCGCTTACCGTCCTCCACTGCCTCCTTAAGTCTCTCCCACTCGCTCTCTCTCGCTCTCTCTCGCTCTCGCTTTCTCTCTCTCGCTCTCGCTTTCTCTCTCTCGCTCTCTCTTTCTCTCTCTCGCTCTCTCTCACTCTCTCTGTCTCACGCTCGCTCTCCCTCGCTCTCGCCCTTTCTCGCTCTCGCTGCCACTTCCTCTCTCGGTTTCGGTCTCGCTTTTACTCTCTCTCGTCCCCCGCCTTCTCATGCGAATGTATTAATCGCTGAGTTTATTCGGGCTGCCTTTCTTTCAACTTTCTGCGAACCACCAGGATCCATGGACGTTGACGTGTCAGGCAAGTCGACAGCAGAGATTCCATCGATAACACAGCCATCCACCACCACCTCCACAGCAGCAGCAGCTGCAGCAGTAACCGCGTCCGCTGCAGCCGCTGCCTCGGCGGCTGCTGCCGCTCCTCCCTCGCAGCCTGGTGCCTCTCAGCCATCTGCTCCCAACCGCTGCTTAGTGTGCAAACGGCGGGTGGGGCTCACAGGGTTCAAATGTCGCTGCGAAGGTCTCTTCTGCTCCCTCCACCGCTACTCGGATAAGCACGAGTGCTCGTTTAACTACAAGGCGGCAGGTCGTGAAGCCATTGCTAAGGCCAGCCCGGTGATAAAGGCGGACAAGATAGAACGGTTCTGAAGCAGTTCCTGCGTGCCTCATGCATGATTCGTGCATGATTTCTCGTGCATGGTTCTCTTTCTGAAGGTTCTTCAGCGTCAGCAGCACGTGTATTGATCCTGATTCCTGATTCTGCAGAACAAGGTAGTCTCAGCTTTTGACGGTTCAGGAGGTGGACTTACGGTGTGAGGGATGCAATGGGTGTATGGAGGATGGAGGAGTTGTGTGAGTGGATGGATTCATGACGGTGATTGCACAGAATAGTGGTTGTGTAGAGATACAGTCTCAGTGTTTGGACAGCTGCCTGGACCAGCATGTACATCTTTTACTTGTCAATCTGCTCATTCTTTTGTGTCTACCGGACTACTGAAATATTCTGCTCCTAGCCAGTTCCCATCAAACTCCCAGTACCGCGTTTGTGTGGTGTCTTGAATACTTGCCTACTATTGTTTTGCCGGCAGCCTGGCCCACAGCCTGGCCCGTTTCTCTTTAAACTAGATGAATACGGTATGTCGGTACTGTATGTGAGAGCAGCATTACAAGCAGAGAATAAAAGTGATAATGCTTCACAACAAATGAACCATTCCCAACATACAAATTTAATGTTAATAAGCGCCGTGCCCCAGCACTCCCGCATTACTAGGAAACACCATTCCCATGGCTGCATCATTCTGGGCACCCCTCAACTTGAGAGGGTCTGGGCTGCGCTGCAGCCTTCTCAACCGCCTGTCCTGCTCATTCCGCCCTGGGAATGTAGGCTGCCATGCAATACGGTAGCAGGAAGAAGGAAGTTGGAGATGCAATGGGAATGCTCAGTCATCCTAATCAAGCACATCTCAGCGACAAGATGCAGGCAGGCAGGATAGGTAGGGTGGGGACTGACCATGAGCTCTTGAGCCTTGGGAAGAGGCACCTCCCTGAACCACTCATGCTGCAGTGCCTCGGCTGCTGTGATGCGCTGGTGCACGGCAGGGCAGGGCAATCAAAGGGAAGCCGAAAGTCAAGGGGGGGAGGAGAGACCATACGGTGTTGATCATGCTTTCACCACTTATAGTGGATGCAGCAGATGGGGCAGAGAGCAGATGGAGCAGACGGAGCAGATGGAGCAGACGGAGCAGATACACACGCGTTCAACAGAAAACAGCCTAGCAGCCTCCCAGTGAAACGACAGTGAAAGAATGGTTTGGCTGGAAGTAATGGGATGCCAACTCAGGTGAGAAAACACGCCACAGCGTCCAGCCCTTTCCCGACCCCCACCCCCCTAACCCTCATTCTTCTTAAAAAATAGGCACACAAGCACACACACCCCCACACGTCAAATGCACACAGGTTCTTTGCATGCACGCAAAGGTCTTAAACATGCAAGCACAGCAGTTCTTAAACACGCATGCAGAGGTCCCACACCTTGGTGGGGTCGTATGTGAGCATGCGGTTGAGCAGGTCAAAGCCAGCATCGGAGAGAGCAGGCTTGCCGCCAAACGCCACCGCTGGGAAGCGCTCCCTCAACCGGTTGTACCTGCTCGTGGGGGGGGGGGGGTGGTGGGTGGTTGAATGATAATGGGGATGGAAGGGGAAGCGTGGGGAGAGAGGGGGTGGGGGTGATAATGGTGGGAGGGGGAAGGGGATGGGGATGGGGGAGAGGATGAGGGTAAGGGCAGAGGTGAAGGGGAAGTGATGGGGGAGGAATGAGGAGGGTGTGAAAGGGGAGGGAGCGAGAAACTGGAGTATGATACAAAAAAAAACCTGCGAGATATTTTCTTGCTTAGGATGGTTGATAGTACAACGTGTGCTGTACAGTACACGTGCATTTGTGTCCCTACTCGAATGATCCTATCGAGTAGTAGTGTACATCATTCCTGCAGCACAATCGTGCATGCGCATGCGTGCCGATGTGCATTCGCCTCGTGCGTCGTGCGTGTGCATGTGCGCATGCCTACCTGCATGTGTGCATGGGTCCATGGGTTCATGTGCTGTGCGCATGTGTCAATGCGTGCATCCGTACACGTGTGCATGTGTATGCGCGTGCATGCATGCATGCGTGCATGTGTGTGTGTGCGTGTGCGGTGCAGCAGAGGCACACGACTCACGGCTGGCGGACGAAGCTGACTCGCTTCACACTGGGCAGGTGCGCGAACTCCGGCCAGATCTTCTCCGTGGGCGTGCCCAGCAGCTTGAAAATCTGAGGTGGTGAGGAAGGAGAAAGAACAAGGAGATTTTGTGCGGAGAATGTGTGAGGAGAGCGCGAACTCCGGCCAGATCTTCTCCGTGGGCGTGCCTAGAAGCTTGAATATCTGCGGCGGACAGGACGGAGAAATCGCAACGACAAGGTGTGAGAACAACGTGGGGGGAGAAGGTGTGTGAGGAGAAGGCGTGAGGAGAAAGTGTGAGGAAGAGGCAAGACGGGGCACTCGGTGAAAAAAAAAGGAGGATAGAGGGAAGTATGGAGGGAGAAGCAGGCATGACAGGGTTTTGAAACGCAGGAGAATTAGACACCGGGAGATAGAAGGGGAGGTGGAGAAAGGGAGGCAGGCCCAGAGAGAGAAAGACAGAAGATAAGGAGAGAAAAGAGGCGACAAGGAGCCAGGTTTGATCGGTAGGCTTCCACTACACCGTCACACACCATCCCACCCCATCCCACCCCATCCCACCCCATCCCATCCCATCCCAGGCCAGGGCACCTTGTCGATCTGGTCGAGTTCGGACTTGCCGGGCAGCAGGGGCTCCTTGCACAGCAGCTCAGCCATGATGCATCCCACAGACCACATGTCCACGGCCGTCGAGTACTTGCGCACCCCCAGCAGCAGCTCCGGCGCTCTGTTGGGTGGGGGTGAGGGTGCGTGTGTGTGTGCAGAGAGGGGTGGGTTGAGGCGTGCACACAACCATGATGCATCCCACGGACCACATGTCCACTGCTGTCGAGTACTTGCGCACCCCCAGCAGCAGCTCCGGCGCTCTGGCAGGTGCGAGGGGTGTGAGTGTGTAAAGAAGGGGGGGGGGGGGGGGTTGGGATGTATGATCGGATGGATGAGGCGTGCACACAGCACAGCACAGCACAGCACAGCACAGCACAGCACAGCACAGCACAGCACAGCACAGCACAGCACAGCACAGCACAGCACAGCACAGCACAGCACAGCACAGCACAGCACAGCACAGCGCAGCGAAGCGCAGCGCAGAAACTGAGGAACCGACCGGGGGACAGAGACATGCCGGGGACTTTACAAGCCAGCCCCCACCCCTGCTTCCCTTACACCCTCTTCCTGTCCCCTGCAAAACCACCCACAGACCCCCGTGAAAACCACCCACAGAACATTCTGCAAAACCCCCCGCTAAAGCTCCTCATAGCTGCCTTGGTGCCTGCCTGCCTGCCCTCCACCCAGCGCACCTGTACCAGAGCGTGACGACCATGTGCGTGTAGGCACGCAGCGGCGACCCGTACTGGCGTGCGAGGCCAAAGTCGCAGATCTTGAGCTCGCCACGGTTGTTCATCAGCAGGTTGGACGTCTTGAGGTCCCTGCTCGCGGAGGTGGATAGATAGATACCAGAGGGGGTGGGTGGGGAGAGAATGACTTTGAGTGAACTCGATTCCACTCCGAAAGTCATCGTCAGCTCACCGCGGTTGTTCATCAGCAGGTTGGACGTCTTGAGGTCCCTGCTCGCGGAGGGAGGGGGGGGAAGGAGGCCAGGGGGGTGGGGTGGCGCAGAGTGTTAGTTTTCGGTCGGCTAAAACAACACTGTGAACTCGCCGCGGTTGTTCATCAGCAGGGTGGACGTCTTGAGGTCCCTGCTTCCGAAGGTGGGTACCAGAGGGGGTGGGGAGAAAATGACTTTGAGCGGACTTCCAAAGTTATCGTCAGCTCGCCACGGTTGTTCATCAGCAGGTTGGACGTCTTCAGATCCCTGCTCCCCGGGGGCGACGAGGGGGGTTGGTGGGTGGGTGGGGTGGCTGAGAATGTTATGTTAGTTCTAGGCCGACTGAAACGACACCTGGAGCTCACCCTGGTCCCCCGGTTGTTCATCAGCCGGTTGGTCGTCTTCAGATCCCTGCTCGTGACAGGGTGGGAGGGCGCATGGGAGGCGGGATGTGAGAGAGGAATACCTTTGGGAGGGGGAGGGGAGGGGAGGGGAGAGGGAAGTGGGGGGGGGGAGGAATGGGGGCGGAGGGGAGATGCAGAGGAAGGATCTAGCAATAATGGAGCAAGAGGACTGAAGGTTTTGAGCGTTGCAGAAGCTGGAGTAGAGTTCACCCCGAGACTGCAAGTTTGACGTCTTAAAGATCGTAAGTCGATGGGGCTGTGCAGCACCCCCAGCACACCCACCTGTGCAGCACCCCCAGCACACCCACCTGTGCAGCACCCCCAGCACACCCACCTGTGCAGCACCCCCAGCACACCCACCTGTGCAGCACCCCCAGCACACCCACCTGTGCAGCACCCCCAGCACACCCACCTGTGCAGCACCCCCAGCACACCCACCTGTGCAGCACCCCCAGCACACCCACCTGTGCAGCACCCCCAGCACACCCACCTGTGCAGCACCCCCGGCACACCCACCTGTGCAGCACTCCCAGCACACCCACCTGTGCAGCACCCCCAGCACACCCACCTGTGCAGCACCCCCAGCACACCCACCTGTGCAGCACCCCCAGCACACCCACCTGTGCAGCACCCCCAGCACACCCACCTGTGCAGCACCCCCAGCACACCCACCTGTGCAGCACCCCCAGCACACCCACCTGTGCAGCACCCCCAGCACACCCACCTGTGCAGCACCCAGTTATCGTGCATGTAGTCGACCCCGCTGAGCAGCTGCAGCATGAGGCACTTCACCTCACTCGGACTGAACGCCTGCTTCATGCTCTCCATGAGGCTCTTCACATCGTGGTCCATATACTCCATCACCATGAAGATACTATCCACACTGCTCCCCACCACCACCTCCCGCACGCCCACCACCGCCTCGTGCTGCAGCGACAGCAGGATGTTGATCTCCCGGAGGGACGTCAGCGGGAAGCCTTCTTTCTCCCGCTCCATCTTGACCTTTTTGAGGGCCACTACTCGCCCGGTCTTCTTGTCGCGCGCACGGTACACCACCCCGTAGGTCCCCTCGTCGATGCGGTTCAGGCGCTCGAACTCGTCCACGCTGCGGCAACCCCCGCTGCTGCGGAGGAGGGAGATGAAGCCTGCCACGCCTGCTGCCTCCCCGCCCTTGGCTGCTGCTGCTGCCGCCGTCGCCGCTGCCACTGCCACTGCCACGGACCTATCCCTCTCGTCCCGCTCATCCCGCTCGTCTCTCCCGTCTCTCCTGTCCCGCCCGTCCCCCCGTGCTCTTCCTGCTGCCCCTCCTCTACCTGCTCTCCCCCGTCCTCTCGGGCTATCCCCCCCTCCTCTCCCTCCCCCACCATCACCATCGCTATCCCCACTCTCATCACTCTCCCGGCTCCACCACCGCCCCTCCCCTCGCCTGCCCCTGTACCCACCATCATCCCTCCCCGCCCTCCTCTCTCCGTAATACCCCCCATCATCCTCATTCTCCTCCTCGTCACTGTCCCGCATGGCCATGCTGCCCTGCTCGTCCCCACTGCCCCCGCCATCCCCCACGCCGTTCGCCAGCTCCTCTAGCTCGCGCCGATTCAGCTCCCGCTCATAGTCACTCTCGCCCCCCCCCTGCTTCCCCCACTCTTGCTTCCCCCCCTCTTGCTTCCCTGCCTCCTGCTTCCCTGCCTCCTGCTTCCCTGCCTCCTGCTTCCCTGCCGACTGCTCCTCCCCTTCCTCCTGCTTCTTTCCCTTGTGCTTCCCTCCCTCTTGCCTATCCGTCCCCTGCCTCGCTGAGTCTTGTCTCCTCGCGCCATGTCTACCAACGCCCTTCTTACTGACCTTGCCACGCTTGTCGTCTCTGCCGCTGCTACTACTACTACTGCTGCTGCTGCTGCCACTGCCACTGCTGCTGGCGCTGCTGCTGCTGGCACTGCTGCTGGCGCTGCTGCTGCTGCTACTCCTGCCCCGCTTTCGCCTCCGCTTCTCACGCCTCTCGTGCTGCTGTCCTCCGCCCCTTCCTTTCGCCTTGCCCTTCTTCCCCCTTTTGATCGCCTTGGGTTGCCCCTTCCTACCATTTCTATCTCCTATCCTCTCACCACCATCATCACCATCATAATCCCCGTCACCATCATTCCCCCCCGCCCATCTGTTTCCCAGCAGACCCATCATGGAACCCTGCTGGTCAATGCCTCGCAGCGACTTGGGAATCCGCCTCTCCTGCTCGTCAAACTCCACAAACCCACCCTCCTCCTCATCCTCATCATCATCCTCATCCTCATCCTCCTCTCCCTCCACTTTTTCCTCCTTCCCCTCACCCTTCTCTCCCTCCTCCTCCTCCTCCTCCTCCTCCTCCTCCTCCTCCTCCTCCTCCTCCTCCTCCTCCTCCTCCTCCTCCTCCTCCTTCGTAACCCCACGGGCATCACCATTGGGATTGATAGACCCATCAGCGTTATCAGCAATATCAGTGTTGCTATCACCTCGGTTGCCGTCACCACTGCCAGTAACCTTTACATCCTTTCTACTTTCTGCCCAACGCTTCCTTTCCTTCTCCGCTGCACCCTTCCCCGCGTCGTCATCACCCCTTCTGTTATCAGTATCTCCCCTTTTCACTCTCTTACGTCCTTTACTCTCCTCCCTCTCATCCACCCCTCCCTCTCCATCCCCCCCTTCTATATCCTCCCTTGCCCTCCTCTCCTCCTTTATTTCTTTCCTACTCGAACCTTCTTCCTTTCCCTCTTCAATACTCCCCGTACCCTCCTTCCCTCCTTCCCACCTTTTCTCCCCTTCCCCATCTTCCTGCGTCCCCTCCTCCCGCGCAACCCCTTCCCCCACTTTCCCCTTATCCGCCGTCTTTCCTCCCCATCTTCTCCTGCTTCTTATCTCGCTCTCCCCTCCAACCCTCCCCTCCCGCCCTCCCTCCTCCCCTCCTCTCTCTCCTTTCCCCTCTCCCACGTCCTTCCCACTCGTATACCCCGTTTTCCCCTGTCTCTCCGCTTCTCCCGCCTCCCCCCCGCCAGTTTCCCCGCGTGCTACAATCTCCGGGGTTGCCGAGCGCTCCTCCCGCCTTTCCCGCACCAGCTTGCGCACCCTTCCCCCAAGACCGCTTCCCCCCCGGCCGCCTTCGCTTGCGCCGACCCTGCCATCTCCCCCTCCATTCCCCGCAGCTTCCCTCTCCGCCGCCTGACCACCTTCCGCGCATGCCGCGGCTTCCCCCGCACTTGCGCGCGCGCTCTTTTCCTCCTCTTCCGCGCGCCTGCCACCACTGAGCGGAGATGGCCTATCTTGCGCAGACAAGCGCAGATGCGCATTGCGCGCCGGAGAGCCCCCGAGCGGCGAGCGTTGCGCTTCCGCCCGGTCGGCGGCAGGCGGAGTTCTTGCGGAAGCAAGCGGGGGTACGGGGGATCGATGCGCAGAGGAGGTGGAGGACGGGGGAGGAGATGGAGCGGAAGGGGAAGAGGATGCGGAGGCCGGGCGAATCGGGTCCTTCCGGTGTCTTATGACGGAGATTGGCCGTGTGGCAGCTGCTGATTGGCCGTCTGGATCCCAGCGGATGGGGGAGAATTTTCGCTTCTTGGGTTGCGAATCTGGCTCGGTAGCATGTTCTTGTGCCGATTCCATCCGCGAAAACGATAATAGCGAGCGGAAGGAAAGGACCAGTGAGAAACGCAGAAGAATATGAGTTGAAGAGGTATGATCCACGGCGATCTAAAAAGCCGTGCTTGTCGCTCTTGACCAGTAGTTACTGCAATTGACTAACTGCGCTGGTTAGTAATTTTCGAGGTTATACACGACAGGGCATAACGCCTCGTAAGTGCGTGCCGGGCCCTTGTAAGTGCAGGTAGGATCCTAACCTAACGAGGTTTCAGGCAGCCATAAACTCGGATCGGGTCTACAAGTAGGGTCAAATCCCGCGGTCAACCATTGCCGTGTCTCGTTTGAGTTTCGAACCACCGAATTCTTGGTAAAGTAGCGGTGTACAAATACGACAGGAAATGCAAAATATGATGAACATAGAAAACATGTTCACCCAATTACATTGCAGTTCTGCTCTTCTCGAGCACTTCTAAGAATATTGGTCATGCTTCACCAAGCTTCAGGTTTGGAGTCTAAATTTGGTACCCTAATTTGCTTCCTGCTCACGAGGGGTCCGAGTTCTAAAAGCGAACTCTATTATGGCACGACTAACGCAACACTAATTGCAACACGTAAAAAAAAAAAAAAAAAAAAAAAAAAAAAAAAAAAAAAAAACCCTGGTTATGTTACACTATTCATGCTAACAAACTTTATGTATCCAGCCACGCGGCGCTAATTGGTCTTTTTATCCGTGGCCGTAGGTTGCTCCGTGGTGGGCTCTGCAGGAGGCCCCCCAGCCTCCCCAGCAGCCACATCACCAGCTGCAGCAGCAGCTGCATCACCAGCAGCATCACCAGCTGCAGCAGCAGCCGTAGATTCTGTTTCTCTCTTTTCCTCAACTCCTGCAGGAGTAGAAGCCGCCGCAGCCATCTTGGCAGCAGCAGTGGCAGGGCGGTAGACTAGTACAGGCATGGTGCAGTGGTGCACACAGTACTCTGATACACTCCCCAGCAGCAGCCTGGCAGGAGAAAGACAGGACAAGAACCAAAGGTGTGGACATAGGATCCCATGGGATTGACGTGACAGGGAGGCACAGAGGGGCAAGACGTAGAGAGGTCATTTCAGGAGGACGAGGAGAGTGAGGAGTGACTTCATGAAATGCGCGGCGAGGAGGACAGAAGAGAGAAAAGGCAAAGTACATGGAGTCCCCGGACCTTCCTTCAGCCCTCACTCTATACCCCTTCTTTCTCCCTCCTTCCCACTCTTCCAAATCCCCCCACCCCTTCACCCCCCAGTTCCCCACCTATACCCCACCACACTAATCCAATCCACTCTTCCTTGCCTACCCTCTCCCTTCCCACTTTCCTTCCGGCCCCCCTGCCCCTCTTTCCCCCTGCCCCACTGCCCCTCTTCCCCCTGCCCCCCTGCACCCTGGCCCCCCTCTCCCCCCGTCTCCCGGGCACCTCTGCAGCGGTCCATGGCCGCGGCTGCCGACGATGACGAGGTCAGCGGTCACCTCAGTGGCCAGCTCCACCACTGCTGTGCGCGCATCCCCCGTGTGCACGCGCACCTCCGCTGCCACCTGATGCCCATGCACGTGCCCATGCCCATGCCCATGCTCACGCCCACGCCCACGCCCACGCCCACGCCCATGCCATCATGCCACGCCCATGCTCATGCCCAGGCCATGCCATGACACGTCAAGTTCAGTCTTGAAGTTTTGGTCCTTGCTTGCCTGAATATATTGATAGTTTTTATCTGCTATGCACACACACGTACATTCGTACATACATGTGCGACTGCAGAAGAACGACACAAGAGCAGCATCGGGGAGACTAGGCCCGAGAAATGGAACCGGCGTGGCGGGGTGCACGGACGAAGCACGGAGGCATGGGGAGGAGATTGGAAAGGCAGGCAGGGAGAAACGAAGGGACAGAGTGAAGGAGGGGAGAGGCAGACGGATTAGGGTAGGAAAGGCAGGCAGGGAAGGCAGGGAGGCATGCAGGATGGGCAAGAGGCAGAGAGGCAGGGAGGGGAGCAGGGAAGGCAGGAAGGGCAGTGAGAGGCAGGAAGGGAGGGAGACAGGGAGGGGGGCAGGGAGGGGGGCAGGGAGGGGGGCAGGGAGGGGATGGTGACCTGGTGTTCAGCACAGGCGGCGCGAGCTCGGTTGAGCAGGGCCAGGGCGGACGACTTGCGGCGGTGACTCTCGTCCTTCACGAACGAGTCGCTCAGATGCATGCCTGCACCCACGGGCACCCACAACAACAACAACACACACACACACACGCACACACACACGCACACGCACGCACGCACGCACACACGCACGCACGCGATCTGGGAGAAAATAAGACCCCAAGAAAACGACGACCACCACCATAGCAGCAGCCACCACCACCACTATAACAGCAACAACAACCACCGCGGCGAAAGAAGGCGTGTCTCAGCTGACCTGGCCGGCCGGTCATCCCGGTGTACGAAACAACGGGCGCCACGGCGGACATGAGCACGAGGCGGTCGTGGGGCGGCCGCACGACGTTCTCGAGGGCCCACCGCAGCGCGGCCCAGCTGCTGTCCGAGCAGTCCAGCGCCATGAGAATCGTGCGATGCCCCGCGCGCTGCGGCGCTCCTAACGGAGGCGTGACCTCTGTGGGTTGGTCGGATGTGGTGGGATCTGGTTCTGCGCCGGACGTTGCGGCGGTTGTAGCAGCTGTTTCTTCCATCCCGACAATCAGTGGAATTGATTCAGAGAGAGAAAAAAAGGATCTGAGATATTAATCTCAGCAGCAGATTCGTGAAAATCGCGGTCAAACTAAGATGAGGGAACGGAAACGACGAGTATAACTGACACCTCCCTTCACCGCATGTTCGATTGCAATCAACGGACGGGCTGTGGTTCTGATGTTCGAAATTTCTGAGCCTAGACTAGAAAACTATTCCGATGTTTACAGCAGCGGAGTGGTTGCTTGCGCCTCCCAGCTTTGCCGAAGGGGAGGCTGGAGTGAAGCGATTGCAGATCGAGATGCAAAGCTCCAACTTTCCTCACACCCCTTTCCACCACATGAATACCCTTTTTCTAGCGCTTATGCAACGCCTACCAGTGGTGCTAGCAACGCGTTCCGTACTCACGGTTCTGTTCTCCCAACCAAGCCATTTCTGAAAGTATGATAAAAATATTTTTTGGCCTCACCATCTGACGCACCCATCAGCAACTTTGACATGGCGCTGTGATGGGGCACGTGTTTGACGGGCTTTGGTAATAAAGAAATGCCACCGTGGCACTAGTCGGCGCGCTTTATCAACCAGCCCCAGAACAGATTGTCCTGCCCTAACTAGAGTACAGTAATCTGTTGAAGTTATTTAAACCGCTAACCTTTTAAAATAAAAGGACAAAACTGAAAGCTCTGTTTACACAGAATAAAACAATGAGTTAATTTTCACTACTAAACATAAATATCAAGTGAAGAACAGGGGACTTCGACAAACCAGAGAGTTAAATGGATACATATTTAGCGACAACACCATCAGCAACCCACGTAAGATGACCACCCCACCACCACTTCATACACAAACATTTGCAATGTCTCACCATCCCACACACTCATACCACCATTCTACTCCACATTTGTGTTGCGTCACAACACAAGCACAACCCTGTGCATTGACTTACAACCTTCCACGAACACAAGGACCCAATGGCAAACACTTTTTGCACCCCTTCAACCCATCATCCCCCTCCATATTACCTCCACCCATATTCCCCAGCAATGCAGCTGGCAGCCACACCAAAAGTGTGCCCCCCCTCCCACCCTCCCCTCCCTGCCTGCCCCACCCCACCCTCTTCCAACAATCCATACACTGTTACCAACCCCTCCCACATCCCCCTCCTTCTCCCCCTCCCTTCCCCAGGCCCATCATCCACCCCAGCAGCCCGGCATCCCCCCGCGTGCGTGACTGACAGCAGCGCAGCGCCTAGCAGGGCGTCTTGCAGGGCGGGCTCCGACACGAGGGCCACGTGGGCGCGCCCGGTTTGCACGTGGGCGGGATCTTGGCTTTCGCGCAGCACCCCTTCTGGCTCCCCGACGGCGGCGACGTGGTCTTGGGGATCGCCGCGAGCAGCCGCCGCCGCCCGGACGAAGTCGGCGGCGGCAGGTAGTAGTTGGCTTCAAACAGGTAGAACTCGTACGGGTTGATCTGGTCGTTGGTGGGCTTGAGGAACACGTAGGCGGCGCGGCCCAGCAGCCCGTCGGGGTCGTCGGGGTAGAGCTTGACGATGACCACGGAGATCACCTCGTCTGCCTGCAGGTCCGGCGGGTTCGTGCCCGACAGGTACGTCTGCAGCAGCGGGAGGGTTTCAAAGTCCAGGTTCACCTGCGTGCGGTTGAACTGCAGGGGCCGGTGTTGGGGAAGAGGGGGGTTGGGATGGGGATGGGGATGGGGACGAGGGAGTGGGGGAGAGAGGGGGGGGGGGAGGGGGGGGGAAGTGGGTAAGAGGGAGAGGTATTCGAACATGATTGATGCGTGGGATGTTAGCAGGCCAGGTTAGGGGAGTTGGTCTGTTCAAACAAGATCATGTCGAAGGGCGCTGCGGATGGAAGGCGGATTGATCAGATCAGAGCTCAAACAAAGGCCCTTATGCTATGGCATAGCATCTCGACATGGCCCCAACGGCTCACAGTCAGGTTGGCAGAGAGGCCAGGGCCGACGGAGAAATCCGCGGGCAGGCCGAACTGCGTGAAGTCAAGGCCGGTGACGCTGAGGTCCGTGACGCCGTTGTTGGTGAGCGTCATCTGCACCGTCTCGTTCACCAGCGAGGGGTCGGGCGCCGGGCCCCAGAGAGGCAGAGTCCACCCCTGGCGGATGAAGAAGGACGGCAGCGGCGCCGGGTAGATGCTCAGCCCGTCGTCGCTCACGAGTAGGGTTTCCTTGATCTCCACGCAGAACGCGCCGAAGGCTGTGGCGGACGAGGGGGAGAGACGGGGAGGGAGGGGGCGGAGGGGGCGGGAGGGGGGAGGGAGGGAGGGAGGGAGGGGGAGAGAGAGAGAGAGAGAGAGAGAGAGAGAGAGAGAGAGAGGGAGAGAGAGAGAGAGAGAGGGGGGGGGGGGGAGGGGAGGGGGGAAGAAAGAGAGGGGGGCTCATTGGGTAGGCTGCGACAGAGAAGGATACTCGGAGGAAGGGGACGGGGAATGGGGCTGGGGGGGGTGGCTGGCAGCGGAGTGGCGGGAGGGAAAGCAAGAAAAGCAATAGCAGATATTGAGAGCAGGTGCGCGGAGTATCGAGGGGGGGGGATAAGGAACGAGTGCGGTCCGAGCTGCACGGGTGGACGGGTGAGAGGTGGAAGAAAGAGAGGGGAAAATTAGGAGTACGCAGGGGAGCGCGCAGGAGCCGTGCGAGGAGCAACTCACATGCGACAGAGCGACTCACATGCGACGGAGCGACTAACATGCGACGGAGCGTCTCGCATGCGACGGAGCGTCTCACATGCGACGGAGCGGCTCACATGCGACGACGACCGCGCGACTCACATGCGACGACGAGCGCGCGACTCACATGCGACGACGAGTGCGCGACTCACATGCGACGTTGGACATGTTGCCGATGAAGAGCTTGTTGGCATTCTCGAAGTTGGTCTCGAGCGACGTGGTGGACTTGAGACACAGCGCCAACACCGAATCCACTCCCGCCTGGCAGGGGAGACGGCGGGAGCGGCGGTGGGGAGGGGGGAAGGAGGGGGGACGGAAAAAGAATGGCGGGAGGACAGGAGGAGTGGGGGGAGGTGAGCAGACGTTAGTTGGTCTCGAGCGACGTGGTGGACTTGAGACACAGCGCCAACACCGAATCCACTCCCGCCTGGTCGGCGGTGATGTGGGGGGGGGAGGGGGAGGCGGAATGGGGACGACGGGGAGAGAACGAGCGGTGAGGGGAGGATGGTGGGGAGAGGAGGAGGAGAGGGGGAGGAGGGGGGGAGGAGGAGGGGGGGAGGAGGAGGAGGGGGGAGGGAAGGAGGGGGTGGAATAGCGCGCCAACTCCAAGTCCACTCCGCCTGCGAGCGCGCGCACGCATGCTCATATACGGACGCGCACGCGCACGCGTGAACGAGCGCGCAGAGATGGATGCGCGCCAACGTGCCCAGTTGCGCGGCTCGGAAGGATGACGGGTGACGGGGAGGGTAGTCGGATGGACAAGTGGATGGGCCGGAAGGAGGGAGGAGGACTTATTGGACGGGCGAGAAAAGGCGAATATTGAGAGTCCTCACAACAGTTCTACAACACGATGAAAGGGACGGACGGACGGACGGAAAGTTGAACGGACGAGAACGCGGCGAAGAGAGGCCGAAAGGGAATGGTGGTGAAGCGACTAAAGAACACTTGGGTTGAACTGATTTACTGTTTTGAGGCGACTTAAAAGTCATGACACTTGAGTACACGGAGTCTCGAGACGCGACTAATGACAAAAGGCAAAGATTGGAGTGGCAGTGCTAAGGGGGAGGCTCATGGAACAAAGGAAAGAGTGACAGCTCCAACGAAGAATGACAGACGAAAGAAAGAGACTTGGCGCCAAGGTGCAATTCGTAAGCCTGCAGCAATCCGCAGGAAGTTGCACGGAGGGATACACGAGGGCGACGAATCTAAGAAATCTAAGAACTCACTCCGACTTTCGATTTGCGCAGCGCGGGGTTGCGCTGGCATTCCGAGTACGGCACGTTGTAAGTAGCGGCGGACATGTCAGTCTCGGCAGGCGCGAGGGGGGAGGCTAGTAGGAGAAGCGTCAGCGTCAGGACTAGGCCGAGAGAGGAGGGCACGCGTTGGTGTGGGGACGCATGGCGATTGTGTGGAGCCATGGCGGCCAAAGGAGTGAGTTGCGTTTGAGCGTTCTGCAAGAGCAGCACGCTAAGACGAGCGACAACCGATGAGAGACGACAGAGGAACTAGAAGAGACGAGGAACGGTGGAGGAGGACAGAGCTTGCTAATGATCAGTACCAATTTTGTCGATTCTCCAGCGCCAACGAAACCCGACGCGCAGTATAGCAGCAGAAGCAGACTCACCGCAAACTATCTTAGTACGTTAGTACGACTAGTTATTACCGCACACAGTTACCCTAGCTCCTAATAGGCAGTTACTGACCGTACACAAACAAAATGGAGCACGAGAAAGACAAGCACGAGCGCAACGTGCGGGCGGGGTGAGAGCGAAAAAGAGTTTTTTCGGGTGTTGAGCGCTGCTCTGCTGGGTCTGTGGTGGTGCGCGCGGGGGCGGAATTGGGCGCGCGGACAATGTTTGTTTCATTGCGAGCCAGCCGCGGGGTCGGGGGGATAGGCGGTATGTTGCGGTGGAGTGGAGTGAGAGGGGGGGAGGTAGCATGCGCGGAGAGAAGGGGAATTGCGGGCTGGATGACAGTTTCTCTGCCACAAATGAAAGACGAGTCCAGGTCACTCGGATGGTGGCTGGCGGAGGTGTGACTGTTTCTTTGGCCTGGTACACGACAGAGGAACAAGACCGTCCCACAGTACACGACAAGATTCCCACCGATCATCACATCCCAAACCAACATCTCCAACCAACCACGCCCCCAACGCAATATCCCCGTAACTACTGTTGCGCTTACAGCAAAAGTTCAGTAGAGATTTCACTACATACGATGAGGAACTTACCTACTGCCTACAAATTACGATCTATTGGGCCTATGAATCAGGTACTTCTAAATGAATGTTAAATGGGCTTGGGCGATCCAAGACCGCTCGCCAGCCCGACGAGCACACCTCTAGAAATAACAGCACGAGTACTTGCGCCAGTCGGGCTCCTAGAATACCCGACATAACTCTGACCTCGGCTGCTGCAACTACTACTGCTTCTACTGCTGCAGCAACTCCCACCATCCCACCCAGCTGCTCCACCTGCTCCACTCCCCTGCGATGATCTCCTAATCTCCACATCCACATCAATTTTCACAGCCACATTCCCATGTGGTGCCTTCTCTAGTGTTTTATGTGGTAGCTCGGTAATGGGCTCAGATGGCAGTCGAAGAGAAGCAGGCCTTTGACCGCCTCCTACCTTCTTAGTGGGGGACGCAGGCACAAGGGGAGCCGCACGGGCGAGCCTCACAGGGAGTGAGGGAGGGGGGACAGAGCTGCGGGGGGGTGCCACCATGAAAGGGCATTGCTGTGGTTGCGATGCCATCACTGCTGCTGTTGCAGCAGCAGTGCTGCTGCTTGTAGCAATGGTGGTGGTCATGGACGTGCTGCTGCTGCTGCTGGAGGCACTTGCACCTGCAGCTGTTGCACTAGCCTCTGCTGTGAATAAACAAGCAGGCATAGCAGCAGCAGCTGCTGCTCCCACTGCTGCTGTCACCTCCACCATTGCCGATGCAGCTGCACCTGCGCCCATGCTGCTATCCCCATGCATAGCACCCACTCCCTCTGCCAAGACCCCCCTCACAACACCCTCTCCACCATCCTCCTCTTCAGACGCACCATCTCCCTCTGTATCAGCCTCCTCGGCCAGCATCTCTGCCTCAGCTGCAGCGGCAGCAGCAGCTTCAGCAGCAACTGCTTTCGCCTTGACTCGGGAGCTGGCAGCAGCAGCAGAGGCCATGGCTCGCAGGCGCAGGGCGAGCGGACGCACCTTGGCCAGAGCAGCAGTGGCAGCATCCAGGTTGCGATCTACCAGTGGCAGTGGGTCCGGCCACAGGGACAGGGCTTCACACACCCCTCCTGCCCTCACCTCATGCCTCGCCTCGTGCTTCACTTCGTGCCTCAGCTCCCATCTCTCGTCCGTGCCATCAGCCCCCAATCCAAGATAGCCACTGCTACTGCTGCTGCTGCGACCACTGCTGCCGCCGCCGCTGCAACTACTGCTTCCACAGCTGATGCCACCACCGCAACCATTATATTCTCCTTGTTCTTTCCCTGCTTCCTTGTCCTCCTCCCCCTTCACTACCACAAAAGGCTCAGCTTCGGCATCAGCCTCAGCATCTGCCCTGGCATTGGCCTCAGCATCTGCCCTGGCATTGGCCTCAGCATCTGCCCTGGCATTGGCCTCAGCATCTGCCCTGGCATTGGCCTCAGCATCTGCCCTGGCATTGGCCTCAGCATCTGCCCTGGCATTGGCCTCAGCATCTGCCCTGGCATTGGCCTCAGCATCTGCCCTGGCATTGGCCTCAGCATCTGCCCTGGCATTGGCCTCAGCATCTGCCCTGGCATCAGCCTCATCGTCAGACCTGGCTTCAGCCCCCCCATCAACCCCAGCGTTAGCCACAGCATTAGCCGCAGGCCCAACATCAACTTCAGCATCAGCCTCAGCATCAGCCCTGACATCAGACCTAACACCAGCCCCAGAGTCAGCTTCGGCATCAGCGCCGGCATCAACCCCAGCATCAGGCCTGGCATCAGCTTCGGAATCAGCGGCGGCATCAGCTTCGGCATCAGCCACGGCATCTGCATCGGCATGATCTGCGGCAAGAGCACCACCCGCAGCCAGTGATTGCTCGGCCTCCAGTGCGACCTCTTCCAACGCGCCGCTGCCACCCACACTATTCCTGCCCACCAACAATTCCTGCTCGCATTCAAGAGTCTCTCCTCTTGCCGTCCCTTTCCTGCCACAATCTTTTGCCTTCTCAACACCTTCCTCTTCTCGTTCTTGTTCCTCGTCCTCTTTTTCCGCCGGCGCTTGGCTCTCCCCCCTCTGCTCCTCCAGCTCTCCTACTCTCATCCCCGCTTTGTCCCCGCATAGTGCATCTGATTCTTCTGACCCTTCCCTCTCCGGTGGGACAGCCTCTCCCTCAACCACCTCCTCTTCACACTCTTCTTCCTCTACTCCACGGATGAAACACCCCTTCCCCCCACTCTCCCCTTCATTCTCATCTTCCCTCACTCCCTGGGCACCCTCTCCCTCGTCCACCTCACTCGCAATGCTTTTTTCACCAACAGGAGCAGCACCATCACGAGAAGCACAGGAATCAATAGATGCAGCAGCAGCAGCATCATGATCAGCAACAGCAGCAACGCCACCTTCCCAACTCAGACGTTGCGTCCCTTCCATCGTACTCTCCCTGCCCTCCTCCCCTTGGTGTCCACCCGTCCACACGCCATCATCCTCTCCCTTCTTCCCTACAGCATCCACCGTCCCTTGTGTTGCCTCCTCACCAATCCCACCAGCCACACTCGCCTCGCCAACCCCACGCACCTCGCCACCCTCATCCGCCCCAGCACCCGTGTCAGCAACGCGTTCCACGTGGCCCTCACAATTCTTCCCCCCCGTGCCTGCGCTCACAACACCCTCCACACGCACGTCAGCACCGCTCAACACTCCTCCCCGCCTCTCAACCCCCGTCAGAACCTCATTCGCTTTCAGCACTGCGCCAGGGGCTCGCGCGCCCCAAGGGGGCCGCGCCTTGTCCGCGTCCCTCCCGCCCGCTCCCCCTTTGCCTCTACTACCACTGCCAGCACCTCCGTCCCGCCCGCTGCCGCTGCTATCGCGTGTCAAGCTCCCGCCAAAATCACCTCCGCTACACTCCTTCCCGCCACCAGCGGTCGTACAACCATTCGTACGTTCAGCATCGCTAGCACTAATACCGCTGCTACAAGTAGCTTTAGTAGTTTTAAGAGGAAAAGAGGTGTGAGTAGTAATCGCGAGGCGGGCTCGTCGATTGCGGCGCCCTGTCGCATCGCCACCAGCAGCAGCAGTAGGCCTGGCAGATGCCAGCGCAGCAGTACGCGCCACCAGTAAACTCCTGTGGCCGACCCCGCCACCGCCGCCGCCGCCACCGCCTCCGCGACCACCGCTGGCAGTACCACGAGAGCTTTCGGAACGACTTCGATCACCCATTGAACAGCTGGGGGGGAAGCTGATGCGCCGGCTGCCGCCGCTACTCCCCACGCTTCTCCCCGCGCTTCTCTCTGCGCCTCTCCCCGTGTCAATTCTCTCCGAGACGCTCCCGCGTCCTCGTTTCGATACCAGCGCGAGGGAGGTGGGTCGAACGGGGTGGCGCACAGCGGGGAACGCGCCCGCGCAAGTCCACGACGCGGCGGATCTCGTTTCAGAAGCGGCGGAAGTTGTGGGGGATGTAACCGCGGATGGCGACTCGTTCGGCCATGAGGCAAGGCTGGATGGGTAGCTGCTAGCACCGTTAGCGCCATCTCCGCCGTTTACGCTGTTTGCGCCATTCCCGTCGCCGCCCGCCTCCGCGCTGCGCGACTCGGTGGACATTCTGTCCGCGGAGTCTGCGCTATTCTCCGCCACCACAGAAGTTACCGCGCATTGGCTGATCGGTCCCAGTAAGTTGCTGCTTGCGCCCGTTGCGCCGTCCCCTTGTTTCCCGCCTGTCGCGCCACCCACTATCGTCGCAGACTCTCCCGCGCCTCCTCGTAGCTCTGCCCCTCTTCCCGCCGCCATTCCGGATCGCGTCCCCCCGCTCTCTCCCCCTCTTCCTCTCCCTCGCTCTCGCTCTCGACCAATCGTACCGTCACTGCCGCGCCCCATACCTCCTGGTCCCTCCTCGTTCCTCGTTCTTCTCCCTCTGCCTATCCCCTTTTCCCCCACGCAACCTCGCCCCCGACCAGTACCTACCGCCGCTCCCGCAACAGCGCCACCTCTTCCCCCTTGGCGGAGCTGCATCTTCAGCCCCTCCCGCAGGCTCCGCGCGTGCTCGCTTTCCGCGCGGTCCATCGACCACCGCCCGCGCTGCTGCTGCAGCTGCCTCTCAAAGTCCGCGTCCGCGCCAACCCCCGCACCCCTTGGCGCAAGCTTTCTTGCGCCAGCAGCGTTGTTCCGCGCGCACGCCCGCTGCGTGGCGCTGGAATCACTTTGCGGGGGTGCAGTCAAGGTGGAAGCGTGCGGACTTTGGAATTCGCCAGCTAGGACTTTGGAGCGCGGCGGCGGCGGCGGCGGTACCACTATAAATCCATCGCGGCGACTCACCATCGACGGCGCCGGCGACGGCGATGGCGACGGCACACTCGACGTGCCCGCGAAGCCGACTATTGAGGCACGGCGAAAGTCACGGCGAAAGTCACGGCGACCATCGTCGTCGCAGGAGCTCCCATCGTCATTATCGGAATCGCATCGAGCAGGAGTGCTGGGCAGCGACAAGTGCGCCGCATAGTGCGGTCGCGCCCTACGGGGAATCCCCGCTGACTCCAATCCGGCATCCGACCCCACTGCGGGGCTTTCCGCCCCAGACCCCGCCACCGCTACAGCCACCGCCCCCGTTCCCGCCATAGCCCCAGGCGCGCAAGATCGGTTTCCGCTCGCGCTCCACGTCCGTCGCTCGCGGAGCGCGGCGGGCAGCGGCAGCTGAGGCGCCGCGGCTGCCTGCGCCGCCGGCGGTTCCACTGCCGTCACAAATGCCGCCGCCGCCGCCACAATGTCCGTCGCACCCCCGTCCGCCCCACCAACGACGGCGGCGACGGCGGAGGCACTGGTCGTATACGAATCTTCTGGTTGTAACGGCGCCTCTCGCGGTGCGATCGTCGTCGTCGTCGTCCGCATCGTCGTTGTCGTCGTCCCCATCGCCGTCGTCATCGTCGTCGTTCTCAACGTCGTCGTCGTCGTCCCGATTGTCGTCGTCGTGGTTGTCGTCCGCATCGTCGTCGTAGTCAACGCGCCGTCGTCGTCGTATAGAGGTAGAGTTGCGCCGGCCACTTCGTCTCCGGCCGCCGCCGCCGCCGCTGCATCACCTGCTGACAAGGGACGGCAGAGCGCCCAGCCATCCCGGTCTCGCAAACCCTCATCATATTCCGGGCCACCGCTGCCGCTGCCGCTGCCGTCGCTGCTGCTCGTACGAGAGTTAATATCCGTTGCGCGGTCGACAAAGAACGACGGCTCCGACGTTTCTGCTGCTGCTGCTGCTACGGCGCTGGCGTCGGCGGCGGGGACGGCAGGATCGGCAGCAGGCGCTGGTTTGCGCAGCGGCGGAATCTGCGGCAGGACGAGGGCCCGCTTGAGCAGCTGATGCACGGAGGAGCGAAAGGACCGCGAGAACGAGCTCAGACGGTCCACGGCTGTGGCACTGCCACCAGCGCGGATGCTGCTACTGCTGTAGCTGCTGCTGCTAGTGCTGCTGTTGCTGCTTGCTGCCGGAATCTCCGCGTCCGACGCTACTACTGCAGCGACTGCTGAAGCTTCTGAAGCTGCCGCTGCTTCTACTGAAGCGAAAGCTGCCTCGGATGACGCCTCGGAGCGAGGCTGCGCTGACGGGACGGCGATTTTCGCATCCACCGAGGAATCCGCATCCGCGGTGCCGTCTACTGCCACCGCTGCCTCTCCGCCATCAGCGCTGCTATCCCCGCGCTCGGAAGAGCCCCCGCCGATCGTCTGGGTGGTGGCATTTTCTGCGGGTATACCTTCCGCAGCCGCAGCGGAGGCGGCGCCGGCAGAATTGTCAATGAGTTGCCAGCGACGCCTACTGATATTAGCAGCGTTGAATCCCGGCCCCGCGCCGGCGGCGGTGGTGCTGATAGTGGAGGCGGCGGCGTCCGCAGTTCTGCTTGGGGTGGCGGCCACGGCGGCGGGGATGCCGTCCCCCGATCTGGTGCGGCGCAGACTGGATTTCTTGCCTGACAACCAAGGGGTTGGGGGAGTGGAGAGGATGAGGGGGGGGTAAGACTAGCGGACAAGGGAGCGGGAGCTGTAGGGAGCAGGGGGGGTGTGGGGAAATCCAGGGAGGGTGGGAAGGGGGGGAGTGTGTCGGGGGAAGGGAGAGGGCGCGGAAGTGGGTGAAAGGCGAAAGCAATATCAATAAGTGCGCACCTAGCTTGCTCGGCGTCGAAAGCTGCGCTTGGTCACAGTGCGATGACGGTTGCGGATGTACGGAGGAGCTTGAGGACCGACGCTCAGTACCTGCACGCGTGGGATGAGGGGAGGAGCAGGCCGATGGTAGTGGCGAAGACGGCGACCATATGATGATGGCTCGAGCAACTGGCTCGTGAGCGTGAGGCACATACAGAAATCTAAACAGATATTAAAAAACAAAAACATACAAACAAAAACAAAGCCTTACTACTACCTCCCCCGACCCCCATCTCCCCCTCTCCTTTCCCACGAGTAGCACAACTTGTAGAAGCGTGATAACAGACGAGTAGTCGACAAGTAGGTGGAATGTGGGGCTTTCCGTCGGAGAGAGGACGGGGACCATGAACACTCCCGTAGCATTCCTTTCAGAATACCTACTAATTGACGTCGATATACTACTAATCCTGACTCAATCCTTGAGATTCTGACTGACGACTCAGAGTCGGCATGGACAGACTCAGAGCCAGTCCGACGGAGCGATACTCATAGTAGTGTCGCTCTATACTACGTTCTCATCCTCGACTCGGTGACCGGCAACCTAGAGCGATACTACTTCACTTGCCTCGCTGGTCAGTGCTCCACGCCATTAGCGTCGGCGCGCGAAGCTCTCGAAGCTCCTTGGCGCGCGCAATCTGTTCTTTGCGCTTCCGCGCGTAGTCTGACGGATCAAAGGTCCGGCTTACGGGAATCGTCATGCTTACAGCTAAGAGAATCGATAGCTGCCTAAAGGGAGAATATTACGAAGCCTTCTAAGAAGACCGCAAGTTGAGCAATCGTTCGGGAACAGCTTTCATTCCAGTTTTCGCGTAGCGGCAGACTGCTGAGAGGTTGTTTAGGCTGGCCGTCCCTCGCAGAGTGGTAGCAGCTGGACATCAACATAATGGAAGGTTACGTGCATAGGGAAGGAGGGTGCCTGTCCGCATCAACTCAACGACATTGTGACAGCGGCATGAGTCACCTCACCTCACATCAGTCCAGTGACCAGTGTCACCCTGTGGGCGTGGACGATGAGTAAATGCTGAATGTTGCACCCCGCATCGCACATTGCAGGGATGGGGATGTACTGCGGCTCCATAGAAGACCATTCTCATTCGCCAGCTACCGTATGAACAATTGATGGGGCACCCTCTGGGGCTTGATTGCAAGGGGATGGGGCGAGAGGGGGGATGGGCGGATTGACTAATGGGGTGCCCTGAAGTGGAGGGGCATATGCATTTCTGTGTGGCACCGAGTGTAGCCCGTTCTTCCCGGGGGTGAAGGGGGTGCGAAAGTCAACATGCGGCTCGGGCGGGTTGGCAATGTCGAAATCAACGTGCAATGGGAAAGTTTGTTTTCGAGGCGCCACGAAAAAACCAAAGGCGTTGGGGTGCCAGAAGGGGGTTGCACATGGCGGGAACTTCAACGTGGTCCAGATGGTCGGAGTACAGAGGAACAAAAAACATCTGCCAAGAATACATTATTTTGTTAAAACAAGCTGGACTATATGAAATACCTTTTTCTATTTAGCATGTATTTTGTTCTCTAGCTTAATAGGACAAAAGATGTGGTAATCTCGGTATTGTTAAGATTTATTTCGAATCATCCTTGTTATTGGACCCAATTTCATTTAACTCGGCAAGTAGATATTTCTTGGAGGTGTGATGACGCAGTGGGGCGAATGTTGATTTACATAAATTCCATGTCGTTGATCGCGATTCGCAACCACAAACCACCTGCTTGAAAGGCATAGTGCCAGCGTAGCGGGAACGTGTTTGTAGAAAAGAACAAGATAGGAATCTTGCATTGATCATTGAAAAGTAGAACAATGACCCAATGACAACTCAATGATAACTCAATGATATTGAAGAAATGACACATCAGGGTATATATATGCATCCAGCTACCCCTCCCAGAATGGCCCATTCACACCAATAATAGTGTACCAATAATTGTACCGTCTACCCTCCAATAATGCTAGGCTCCAATAATTGTGGTCCCTACAATAATTGTCACAATTATTGTAGGATCTGGAAGCTTATAAAGAGGACTACACTAAAACCAAACAGCACACTGGTATACAGTATTCGTTATACTGTATTCGGATTTCCAACACCACCCATGGTAAATTGAGGAATTTTTTTGTAGCCTCCTCGATGCCAGATTCATCTCTTCACGCACTTGTGAATTCTTACATCGGACTTGATTCTGAAGTATGACCGGTACGGTGGTGGTATATAAATAATGGCGCGCGTCTTTTGGTGTAGATCGACAGAGTTCAAGCCAAACACTGTTTTGTGCCGTGGCTGTGAAAGTAAGCAGTAGAAGAAGGCGCCATAGCTAGGAAAGCCCTAGCTAGGCAAGAAACAGTTTAGGCAAAGAAGGAGGAGTTGCACTAGCAAGAATGAGGATACAAATAGCAAACCCTAGAAGGGTTGTACTCGCTATAGAGCACCCCACTACAGGTTAGAGCATAATATTCTGACACACCCCCATAGCCAAAGTGGGGTGTAATCAGCAGAGCAAGCAAAGCAGAACAAGCTCAGGGTGGATCACAATGTCACCACACATTCTGAGCACAAGTTCAGGAAGCAATAGTTTAAAGTTCACAATTATGAGCAAAGCTA